ACCCAAAACAAACCTGGTAGCTATATTTAGCTTAGCTATATTTCACAAAAGTTAGGGTTAGGGTTATGATTTAGGTTTAGGATTCAGGGTAAAGGTTTGTTTAAGATTTACACATATTGTATAAAGAAAAGTGAAATAAACCGCAGAAGTAAACACCTTGGTGTCTTGTGGTGTCTTGTGGTGTCTTGTGGTGTCTTGTGGTGTCTTTGGTGGACTATCCTGAAACTCCCAGATTTCCTTTGTTTCGGGTTAAGTTATAATTAAAGTACCTAAGTAATTATTCGTTTTATAGAGACAAACAAGGAGAAGATCAGTAGTCACGAGCAGAAACTGCAGCGATCAGTAACATGCATAGCTATCTTCGTCTGATCATATCCACAAGAGAACTACAGTCTCAACCAACTCAAGCCAGGTCACCATAACATGTGCCATCCCTTGCATCTTTTCACATGTATTCTTTAGCTTTCTAACTTCACTTTCTAGTTTCCGTCTCCAGTTTGCTCAGGTTTTGTCAACGTGTGTCCTATTCAACGACAGCGTCTTTATTTCACCTCCTAATTCACTGGAATTTGCTTGGATCTCTCCACAAGCTACTCAACAGTGATACCTATCATACCATATAATTCCCCTTATTCTTCCTGTTAAGTGCAGTCTGCTAACTGTTATTTAAAGGTGCACGCCATAAAGTTGTACTTACTGATTTCACATTATACGTCCGTGTTTGAAAATCTCAATCAGCTCGCCTATCTATATCTACATAACTGGCTCATTCTGAGCCTGCTACCTTCATTGTAGACAGCGGGCGGGGGAGAAAACATTTTTCTGCTCCGTGGATGGGGAACCAAAAAAGTTGATGACCACTGTTTTAGAGAAGATATAAATCAGAAATGGTAATGAATTAAATCACATTTGGATGTATGTGTGTGACATTAGTAACAGCTTCCTGTATAGAGAAAAAAATATGCCAGCTTATCAACAACAAGCAGACAGCCACACAAGTAATATGGGTCAGACATGACCAGGTTCGGCTAGAAGACAGCGCGCACAGTTATTGATGACCCGAGGAATTTTATACAGAGAGACAAACTTCAATAGAACATTGCAGGTATCTAACAATTTCCCGAAGTTGTGAGACGAATGGCAAAGACTAGAAGAAGGAGGTGAGTCAACTGACATTAACAAACAAAAACAATAACAATAAACAGGAGGAGGAAAGCATTAGAATCTACAAGTTATGTATGCCAATGTTGCAGCTAGAAGCAGCGCATGTACCCTGTGATGTGGTTCTCACTGTAGCGATACAGTCCTTTCCGTTAGTTAATCAAGGAGATGGTTGTGGTGGTAATGATGATGATGAGGCACGTGAAGATAAAACAGGAGACAAACCGGAATACATAAATAACAGGGACAGTGACAGTTTTAATCGTCTGCCTGCTTCTTTGGTCTGCCAACATCAATGGCATTACACACGTTCACACACACACACACACACACACGCACACACACACATGTATAGATCTGCAACTAAACAGCTCACACGTTGTTTTCTCCATGTTAATAATTTGTTATTATTCCACATCCCACAAACCAGCTTAACTCACGGTAACTTTTGCGGAGAGCAGCCTTTGAAACGTTCGTTAAACAGAAGATAACAACATACACACACCTGTAGACCCCCTCAAGTTTGCTTTCCACAACAAGTTACCACGATGGAACTAAACGGTGACGACATCTTTCCGAAATAAACCTTATTGAGCATTAGCAGCCGATGTTGGGTTATTGATGTTGGGTTGTTAGTGTTGATTTATTGATGTTGTTCTGTTGCTGATGTTGTGTTTTGATTTTGTGTTGTTGATGTTGTGTTTTTTTACATCAAATTGCTAACCTTATCATGCTGATATAGTTTTTTTGACACAGTGTTGTTGATGTTGTGTTATTTATTTTGTGTTCCTGATTGTCTGTTGTTTATGTCGTGTTGCTGATATCGAGTTCTTGATGGTGAACAAAAGACCGAATTGTCCTTAAAGACATATGATACATTCCAAAACAAAAAGGAGTTGAATGGTTTCGATCACTCGCGTCAAGGTACACTAGGTCCGTTGGACACTATGCCTCACCATGGTCGCCAGCATTCTCTGTTGTGTTCTGCAGACCCTCGTGCAAGACTCCTGCTACCAGTCCGCCTCATGAGCTCTGGACATTACGCTATGTCGGTGTAAACCAAAGTTCTCCAACCTTTCACAGGTGACGTCCCCTTGAGTATATTGCAAAGAACCCCCTTCCAACCCAACCATAACAGGGTGTGATTAAAAAGTGGTGAACAAAAAAGAAAAAAGCCAAGTATTGTTAAAAAGAACATTGAAAAAAAAAAAACAAAAAAAAAAACAATTACATAATTTAAAGTCACACCAGAAATTATCCCCAACAGCTGGTAATTCAATGTCCAAAAATCAGTATGATGACTGACACTGTTTTACTAAAGGATATCTGCTATTTTTGTTCAGACTTTGGACAAGGCACACTGGAGATCACTCTCCGCCTCAAGCTGACAGCGCTATTACGTTTTCAAGACCGTCAGAGCTGTAATTTCTGAATATTACGAGTACAAGATTACTTAATTTCAAAATTACCAGACAGTCCTTTTGAAATATTCATTTCCCCCGGGGCGCCACCCGCAACCGCCTCCCCTCAAGTTGGATTCCACTGCTGTTATACTTCATGAGCTTGTCTTTGTTTAATGACGAATCACTGTCTGCATATATATTGCCTCATCCTCAGTTCGCTCGGTACCAGCTGAAATGGCAGACTTCTGGAATGACTGGACAACGATCTCAATCTTCACATGATCCCATGATCTTTTTATGCAGATACAAACTTCACCTTATAGTTGCTTTCTTTCGTTACCTGCTGGTGTCAAATTGCCCCCCACCCCATTTCCCCACCAAAAAAGACGTTATTTATTGATTCAGTTCGTTTCTCTTGGCAGCCTTGAAAGGCTTGTTGATGCTAACATTAGAGCTTTGAGGGGCTTGTTAAGGCTAATATTAGAGCTTTGAAAGGCTTGGCAATGCAGGCATTGGGGCTTTAAAAGGCTTGTTAATGTTAACATTAGAGCTTTGAAAGGCTTGTTAAGGCTAACATTAGAGCTTTGAAAGGCTTGTTAATGCCAACATTAGAGCTTTGAAAGGCTTGTTAATGCCAACATTAGAGCTTTGAAAGGCTTGTTAATGCTAACATTAGAGCTTTGAAAGGCTTGTTAATGCCAACATTAGAGCTTTGAAAGGCTTGTTAGCAAGAAAGGACCGTACAGCAAGAAAGGACCGTACAGCAAGAAAGGACCGTACAGCAAGAAAGGACCGTACAGTAAGATAGGACCGTACAGTAAGATAGGACCGTACAGCAAGAAAGACCGTACAGTAAGATAGGACCGTACAGCAAGAAAGGACCGTACAGTAAGATAGGACCTACAGCAAGAAAGGACCGTACAGCAAGAAAGGACCGTACATCAAGAAAGGACCGTACAGCAAGAAAGGACCGTACAGTAAGATAGGACCGTACAGCAAAAAAGGACCGTACATCATGAAAGGACCGTACAGCAAGAAAGGACCGTACAGCAAGAAAGGACCGTACAGCAAGAAAGGACCGTACAGCAAGAAAGGACCGTACAGTAAGATAGGACCGTACAGTAAGATAGGACCGTACAGCAAGAAAGGACCGTACAGCAAGAAAGGACCGTACAGCAAGAAAGGACCGTACAGTAAGATAGGACCGTACAGTAAGATAGGACCGTACAGTAAGATAGGACCTACAGTAAGATATTCCCGTACAGCAAGAAAGGACCGTACAGCAAGAAAGGACCGTACAGCAAGAAAGGACCGTACAGCAAGAAAGGACCGTACAGCAAGAAAGGACCGTACAGCAAGAGAGGACCGTACAGCAAGAAAGGACCGTACAGCATGAAAGGAATTATAATTCTATTGTAAACTAGTTGTCAGCTGTATGTCGCCTTGAACCTGCATCCCTTGAATGAGGCTCTGTACGGGATATTTTCCAAGAATCATTTGGTGAACATCTACCACCATTTTGTAAGAGGCACACAGTTTTTACACCTTATATTTTGGGGATAATAAGTCCGCCTTATATTTGGGGAAATATGGTTAGGTTGGTAAGCATGCAGTTTCAGTACTTGCTGCCCTATCACTAAATCGTCCGCAGTTTAGTCCGAAAAAGGGTAAATTATAATTAGGAAACCGCTTTCAAGTGGTGGAATACAAATAATTAACAATCATAAATCAACAATTAAAAATAATAAATTAACAATCAACAGTTAACAAAGAACAAATTACACATGCAACTGGTCTAACATTGATGGTTTATTTTCGCCTAGACCGTGTAACAAAGTTTCGAATCAGACAGTTTTCGAATATTGTGTTTAATTTCTTCAGTCTGAGCATTGACGGTTTAAAAGTGATAACCACTGATAGATGTTGTTTCTATATGTGATATATAATCTTTTATCATGGAAGGACTGGCGAATTGATTTCTGTTTTAGGTCCTGATGAATGACATCATAAGATGTAACATACAGGAGCTGATAACTAGAGTCGATTCATATTTCTGTATGGGAGATATTAGATAGGATGTCACGGGGAAGGTGATAAATTGTCTCATTTGTGTCCGTAAATGTGATGGTCCCATGCGTCTTTCTTGATGAGTTTTACATAATGTAAACATGTGCGAATCAACTAGATACATTATGCTTGGGTAAGTATAAATCTTTCTATTTATGTTCCAACCTCAATTTTACAAATATATACATACACACACACACACACACACATATATATATATAAGCACAGTTGTGTGGCTCAGATAGAGATTTAGACTGCACACAAGCTGTCGTCGAAGCTACTGGTCTCATGGTTTGAGATATTTCTGACAGAAGAATCAAAGCATTTCTATGTTTCTATGACTGGTAGAGCAGACCTGGCCGCACAAGGTTAGGCTGCGACACTGGTCCACTGGACCTCTAGGCTGTTTATGTTGGTGTCCCACCAGGTAGCGCATACAACCGTGAACCCTGCTGTCGTGAGGTCCCTGACTTTAAGGCTATACTTGCTGATATCATCCACATCCACACTCACAGCAGCAAGGGACACCACCGGGGTCTTGGCGTAAGGAACCGAGAAACGAACATGTTTGGTTTCTTCCCTTAGCTGGCACTTGTCTCCCCAACCGTTCGATTGTCGGCACACAACAGTACCCTGTTCACTGTGAGTTAAACTGTTGTTACAGAAATTCGCTTTCATATCACTAATCACTTGTTTCAGACTGTCAATTTCATTTTTGCATTCTGAAATATCCTTTTTATCAACCGGATTTCCATTTGTTTTCAAGTCACCGACGGCCTGTTTCAAAGCCGCGATTTTATCTTGAGCTTGTGAAAGCCACTGTGGCAATTCTCCAGAAATCTGGCTTCTGCCCTCCACCTGCAGTTTGGACTTAAACTTGATGTTGGTGCCGTCTGTTTCTTGGGCCACTATCTCACAGTTGTAACGTCCAGCATGCAGAGGTTTTGGTGATGACCAAGTGGCTTGGAGATGACCCTTTGTATTGGAGAGATCGCCGGTCACTTTGGCCCCAGCTGCCCAAGATCCGGCCGTTGCTGGTTTCCCGGACACAATTCGGCCGACCTCCCTCTGGATCTGGTCTTCAGCTTGGGAATAGACAATGCAAGGCTGTAGGATCACAGACAATGAAGGTGTTCCATAATGTCACTTGGGTAAATGTGAATGAGAAACATGTGAAGATGGTCTAACTGTTTGAGTCTTGTTGAAAGCGAAAATGTGCACGTCTTGCAATATAAAGTGAATCCTTCTTCTTCTACCTGGCATTCACTAGGTGTAAACTCCGGTAGAAAGTTATGGCTGTTCGCCCATTTATGTATGGACTTTAGTCATGTTCCAGAAATTTAGTTTTGCATGCGGATTCGTTATACAAATCTGGCTTAATGGCATGCAGACTGTTGATTCCTTGCCTCTCCGACAGTTTACTCCGACCTCGAAGGGAACTCCTAATCAGTCGACTCTTAAGACATGCTTGTTAGAGATGCAGTGGTTACCCCCCCCCCCCCCTTTTCCCGCTTCACAGTGAATGAAGCTCTTACAATGCTAACCCTGTATTGTTAAGAACAATCAACATTTGATAGATGGTGTTATCGACGTAGGCTCTGCCGACTTTCTTTCCAAGACAATTCCTGGTACCCATTTTGATCTGGGTGGAAATAGGTCAGTTGTAACAGTATTTATCAGTATAGTAAAAAAGTTCAGGGCCCTTTTTCACGCCTTTAGGAATGTTGGACATGTAGGGCTAGCCCTATATTTTATAGACCAATCGGTGCTCGGTGGGTGATGTTTTCAATATCACGCCGGCTGCCTTAACTTCTCAGGACTTTACCTGGTACCCATTCAAGGCTGGGTCAATCTGGACACCAAGGGCATTTTTAAAAAATCCGGCCCTGTCAGGACCCGAACCCTAAACCTTCCGATCCGCAGGCGAGCGTCCGGTCGCTACACACCAAAAATATATACTGCAACAAGAAAATATTTGTAAAGACGTAAAGTCAAGATCATCGACTTCATCACATCGGTGTTTATCTCAAGGGCTCAGTCTCCCTCAATAGAACTGTTAGCGGCGATTTCAGGTCTCGTATAAAGAACGAAATTCTTACCTGCAGTGACGATCCCCATGGACCAGCCAAAAACTGCAATCCTGAACCGAAGAACAGGGTCCATTTCTAAAAGTCTCTTACCTTTGGAGACCGTGGCATGAACATATGACCTATGAAGTCCATGCAAAAACCTATAACCTTTGGAGTCCAAGATTTGCCCACAAACACACACACTCTCTCTCTCTACCTCTCTAACACACATCAAATGCACACAAACACTCACACCCACGCGCACACACAGACACACACACAAATTATAAATGTATATATATACTAGCTGTGCCCGGCCACGCGTTGCTGTGGCCCCGAGGTGAAATGGAAGAGAAAGAAAGTAGCTCTCAACTAACAGTGTCTGTTATAACCCACCCCCCCCCCCTTCCCGTAATAATATCTCCCTCTCCGAAGGAATAAAAAATCATCACTTGGCGAAATTATTAAAATAGAAATAGTTAAGAAATGATAACTTTAAAATATTGTTTAAAGCTCTCTCAGTTAACAGTGTCTGCCATCACCCCCCCCCCCCCCCCCCCCCCCCACTAATCATATCATCCTCGCCGAAGGATGGGAAAGTCATCATCTGACGAAATATTGTAACTGAGCTGAGCTTTGCATCCGTGCCCAGCCAGAGACAGATGGATAGCATTGATGTGTAATGAGAAGTAAATGTGGCCAGTGTAACAGCTACCACATCACCCATCCAGTACCAGTACTACTGCTACCACTACCACCACCACCTTCAGAACAAAAACAAAAAAACAGTCACTACTGTCTGTGCAGGTCGGTGTTGCCAGAGGGGTTAGCGCTGCATGATGTCGCCACGGACTGTTTAGTGTAATTGAGCTCCCAACAAAGAAAATGATTAAAAAAAAAAAAAAACACACACTAATAGTCCGTTCTATACTCACAAATAGCGAAAATAAAAACCACCACCCGTTATCTCCCCTCTCCGAAGGGACGAATGTTAAATGACCTTGGCATCCGTGTCCACCCAAAGTAAACTGGACTGCAAGCAGTCTTAGTTAACAGCTTCTGTCATCTACGAATAGTTTATTATCGAGTAAAGCGTCGCGGGGAGGATAAATGGGACTTTACTGAAATTGGATGTCTATGGGTGAAAGGTGTAGATATCGCTGCCTAGCTGTAGATCACAACACAGCATGTCAACAGCCCTCGTGAGGAAAAAAAGAAAAAATTAGCACTCAGTGGGTAATTGAACACCGGTCAACCAAGTGAAGGGCGAAAAACGTACAAATATACTACCTAAGACTGAAGAGATTGGGTCTGATATCGCAGCCTAGCTGTAAACCACAACACAACGTTCCAACCGCCATCTCAAAGGCGAACGAAGATTATCCGTGAAATGACCAACATCTCGTCGCCGCTATCGCAGGCAAGCTGTAAGCCCCCAAATCGAGCGGAAAGAAGACGTAGATATCACAGCCTAGCTGTACACCACAACAAAATGTGACAGGCGCTTCGTTAAAGGAAAAAACTTTTTTTTATTACCTAGCGGGGCAATGATCGCCAGGCACCCACGTAACACGCAAAATAGACAACTACATAACCAAGGACTCAAGCATTTGCCGAATTATATCTCCCTCTCCGAATTATTGAAACATTATTATGTGGCGACACTGTTAAAATAGAAATAGTTGAGAAATGATAAATGTAAAAAAAAATTATTGAGCTAACAGTGTCTGGCATCAACACCCCCCCCCCCCCCCCCCGGGTGACAATCATATCATCCTCTACGAAGTATGGGGAAGTCATCGCCTGACGAAATAGTGTTGTTAAATTGAGCTTGGCACACGTGTCCACCCAGACAAAAATTGATAGCATTAATCTGTACTGAGAAGTAAATGTGGCCAGTGTAACAGCTATCACATAACCCATCGAGTACCAGTACTACTGCTACCACTACCATCACCACCGTCACAACAACAACAACACAAAACGGTCACTACTGTCTGTCCAGGTCGTTGTAGCCAGAGGAGTTGGCGCCGCATGCTGTCCCCACGGACTGTTTAGTTTAAGTGTGTCCCCGACATAAAACTCCATCACCTAACCAATGATGGAACCCACAGTAAAATTTCGTGATATCTTTAAAAAAATATACACTATACTCACAAATAGCGGAAATAAAAACCCGCACTCGTCATCTCTCCCTTTCCGAAGTGACGATGTGTAATTAACCTTGGCATCCATGTCGACCCAAACCAAACTGGACCGCAAGCCTTCTTAGTTAACAGTGTCTGTCATTAACGAATAGTTTTTGATCGAGTGAAGCGTTGGGGAAAGGGGGGGGGGGGGCTAATGTGGACAGTACTTAAATCGGATGGCTTAGGGCTTAAGGCGCAGATGTCGCAACTTAGCTTTAAACCACAACACAACGTGCCAATCGCCCCTTTGGGGTAAAAAGAAAAATTACTACCCAGCGGGGAATCTAACACCCGTTATACGGAAGGGCGGAATACTTACAACTGTACTACCGAAGACTGAAGACTTTAGGTCAGATATCGCATCCTAGCTGTAAATAACAACACAATGTGCCAACCGCCCTCTCAAGGGCGACCGAATATTACCCGTGACATGAACATTAAGCATCATGTCGACGCTATCGCAGGCTAGCTGTAAACCCCAAAATGGAACGGGGAAAAAGCGTAGATACTGCAGCTTAGCTATAAACCACAGCAAACCGTGGCAGCCACCCAGTTAGGAGCCCCCCCCCCCCCCCCCCCCCCCCCCCCCCCCCCCCCCCCCCCCCCCCCCCCCCCAAAAAAAAAAAATATCACCCAGCGGTGAATCGAACCCCTATTGCCCGAGTGAAAAAAAAAAGCGAAATGCTTACAACCAACAACGCTACTGAATACTCAAGGGCATCGTAGAAATAATAGTATATAATAATAATTTAAAGGTCGGTGTTGCACAGTCAAAGGTGGCCAATTCCTTAAAAATAAATCTGGACGGCCAACCAAACAAATAATGATTTGACCGTTGCTGGAGCTACGTCGTTCCTGGTTTGTGCGATTTTATGACAAAATATAACGCTTCGAGTCAGAGGCAACGTTGTGTGAAAATTTGAAAGCAATCGGTTTAGTAGTTTCCGAGTTTAGAGCTAACGACATCGGAAAATTAAGATTTTTATTAATATAGATATATTGTGCTGAGTCAAAGGTTTAAGAATTACTGGTTTCTGGATTTTTAAAAAAATATAAATATATATTTATATATGATGTAACCAATTTTAATGCTAAGTAAAATGCCAAAAATGATGTCACCAATTATAATGCTAAGTATAATGCCAAAAATGATGATGATTATGACAATGATGATGATGACGATGATGATGACGATGATGATGACGATGATGACGACGATTATGATGACGATGATGATGACGATTATGATAAGGATGACCATATAACGTCTGCAGTGTCTGTTTTCCTTCTAAATACGATAACACTGGTGCGTATGATTATCAATTTAGTAATCCCACAATTTCCGCTGATGATAAAATTGATTGTTGATCGTCTGAACTCACCTCTTCTGATGACAATCGACGTCACTTTGTCCACGGTT